AAATAATAGCAAATAGGAGTTTATTGTTCAATTTTTATCAGAATATAAGCAATATTATGGTGATACTCGAAAATCTGCAATAGTGGATAATATGAAAAAAGATTAAGGCTTAGTATTCGAATAGTCAATAGGTGCAGTAAATATGTATGAGGTATTTTTTACATGGAGAATTAAATTTACAATAAATATGTCGCGATTTGTTACTTAAAATCCATTTTCTGCCAAGTAATCTCCATAAAAACCTTATCTGAGAGTGCGGACTATCTTAAAGTTAATATTAAGAGCTCAAATTTTCAGGAAATTATTTTTTATCGATTTGAAAGCGTTTAAGCCCCTGGGAGCAAAGAAATTCAAAAAAATGCATTTTAAGGACCACCCTAATGTACAACTGTTTCAATGTAATAATAAATACAATTTTGATAGATTCATAACATGTACAGTAACTCCAACATTGAGTTTTTGAACAATTTTGTAAGAATTTTGTTTTTTATGTTGTTATCCGGATAAAATTTGATAAAATTTAGTATTTGAGGCAAAAAAAAGAAAAAATAATCAAAAAATGCGATATTTTAACGTGACACATTGTTTTTCCTATGTTCGGTACAAATACCTCAACTCCAACATTGTCCTCATAAAGAATTTTTGAATTTTTAAGTTGTTATACATAAAAATCTTCTAAAAATTAGAATTTCAGTCCACTAGAGACGTAATATTGTATTATTTCTTTGTTCGGCACATGTACCGCAACTCCAACATTGTCCCTTTCATCAATTTTGCATTTTTTCTATTTTTACCTTATTAAAATGACGAAATATTGCTAAATATTGTAGTTATGTTAACAAAAGACTAAATTATTTTTTAAAAAACAATTTTTCTCCTAAAAACATGGTTATTCCTATGTTCCGTACATGTACCGCTACTCCAACTTTGTCCCTTTCATCAATTTTGCATTTTTTTCTATTTTTACCTTGTTCAAATGACGAAATATTGCTAAATGTTGTAGTTATGTTAACAAAAGACTAAATTATTTTTGAAAAACGATATTTTTCCTAAAAACATGGTTATTTCTATGTTCGGTACATGTACCGCTACTCCAACATTGTCCCTTTTACCAAAATCCTAAATTTTTTCATTTTAAACTGAATAAATCCACTAAATCATATCCCAAAATCCCAAATTTACAAAAAACTTAAAAATTCTCATCTTTAACCTTTCCTCTTCATTATTCCTATGTTCTGTACATATACCGCTTCTCCAACACTATCTTTCCCCGCATTCTTCCACTTTGTACACCTTTTTATCCAATTACACCCACGTAATTTACCCAAATTTACGCGTTGACTCACACGATGACTAAATTATTCAAAAATCCTCAAGTGTGATGACAACAATAAAGCCCCGTTAGTTGATTATACAATAAACAGCGTAAATGATGTAATAATAAATTGTTTTCCAAATAAATCGCATTTTTGGCCCGCTTCACAATTCGTATAATGCTCGTACGTAATTTCAACTTCAAATAAACATACACACGCAAAGTCCTGTTATGCATACAAATGCGCCGAGCGCTTGAAAATTTCCAATAAGCGCACACAAATTGGCAATACTCGTAAAACGAATTTTTGCGCAAAACAATGCCAACTGTAACAAATTACTTCATTTTACATCCTGTCTATATCCAAACTCTATCATTAAGTGCAGTTACACCTTTAATGAATATTACCGCACACGAAAATTAATTATTACACGGAATTTTAATTTTTTTTATTTAATTTTTCTATGTTCACCTTTAAAACGATAGTTTAACCACGATTTTTAGTCACTAAAAGTGATATTTTAGACATAGGCAGCCAAAGCCGTGACTAAAGTACTTTTTTCTACTTCCACTCTCAAAACTTAAAATTTTGCAGAGTTTTCAAACCCAAAAATGGTATTTTAAACACGGACAGTCAAAATCGTGACTAAAGTAGTTTAGGTCGTGACTAAAGTACTTTTTTCTACTTCCACTCTCAAAACTTAAAATTTTCCAGAGTTTTCAGACCCAAAAAGTGGTATTTTAAATACGGACAGTCAAAGTCGTGACTAAAGTACTTTAGGCCGTGACTAAAGTAATTTTTTCTACTTTCACCTATAAAACTCCTATTTCTCCACGGTTTTCAAACCAAAAACTTAGCACAACACGTGGCTAAACATAATTAAACACTCAATAAATTAATCCCGTGACTAAAGTGTCATTTAGCGCACTTGATACTTAATATACTAATAATGCAACAAAATGCAAAATTCCATCCAAAGTAGACTAAGAAAAATAAAACAATACACGCAATTAAAACACGCATCATCTTCATCTTCATTCATGCGAAGTGGGAAATTATGATAGGCGTGGAATTTAGAATTTTGTTACGCGACATTAATACTAAACATGAATATAAACTTCCGACCTTGTGGTGTTGTCATCCGATATTCTCACCGTGTGACAATATCTCGAAAATTAGTCTACTTGTACAACTGGTTGTACACCATCGTCATTGTCATTGGGTTGCGTTTGGTTATTGTCGTCTAATTTTGCACGCCTGTCTGTGTCTGGTGCAATTTTCAGCTGGCGACCTCGTTCGGCATTTTTCACACGGACGCGCTAAGGTAACAGATATAGTTTAATGTCATAAGTGCTTAATTGCTTCAAAAAAGACCACAAATGGCAAGTTAGGAAGAAAAAGAGGAAGAAGACGCGCTGCGTAGTAATTTATTGTTGTGTGTTACGCACGTACTCGTAGTGTTGTAACAATGTCACTCGTAATGACACAACGAGGAAGAAAATAACGCGCAGGAAAAAACAACAACTCAATTAGTTGTGTTTAATTTGTTATTATCACGCGTGTCCCACTTCACTAGTTGCCTAGTTTTGTTTTCATAAATCTGCGGTTTAATTGAAGCAGTAGGGTAAATGTTTAGGTATTTGTATGTTCGGAATATGTACCGGAACTCCAACATTGTCCTTTTAATTTTCTTGTTTTTAGCAATTTTTCGTTGTTTTATTTAAAAATTTTGCAAAAAAAGCAAAAATTAATCAAAAGTTTAAGATTCTTTCAATTTAAATACGATTTACTAGTATTCCTATGTTCGGTACATGTACAGCACCTCCAACATTGTCCATTTTAACATTTTCTTTGTTTTTCTTAAAGAAAAAACGAACTTTTTCCATTTTTTGGTTGCTAAATCTTTAAAAACTCGTAAAAACTTTGTATTTATGGTAATTAGAGACATAATACGCAATTATTTCTATGTTCGGGACATGTACCGCAACTCCAACATTGGTTTATTATAGAATTTTCTTGTTTTTAGCAATTTTTCGTTGTTTTATTCAAGTAATTTTGGCAAAAAAGCAAAAATTAATCAAAAATTTTCATATTTTTTCAATTAATATGCGATTTACTAGTATTCCTATGTTCGGTACATGTACAGCAACTCCAACATTGTCCATGTTAACATTTTCTTCGTTTTTCTTAAGGAGAAAGTCATTTTTTCAATTTTTTCGCAATTAAACCATCAAAAACTCATAAAAACATTGTACTTATGTCAATTAGAGACATAATACGCCATTATTTCTATGTTCGGGACATGTACCGCAACTCTAACATTGTCTTTTTATGGAATTTTCTTGTTTTTAGCATTTTTACGTTGTTTTATTCAAGAAATTTGGCAAAAAAGCGCAAATTTATGAAAAATTTTAATATTTTTTTAATTTAAAAATGATTTACTAATATTCCTATGTTCGGTACATGTACAGCACCTCCAACATTGTCAATTTAACATTTTCTTTGTTTTTCTTAAAGAAAAAATCTATATTTTTCGATTTTTTCGTTGTTAAACCTTCAAAAACTCATAAAAACTTTGTATTTATGTCCATTAGAGACATAATATTCGTTTATTTCTATGTTCGATACATGTACCGGAACTCCAACATTGTCCCTCTCAAGTAATTTCATGTTTTTCACATTTTTATACCAAAATTTCACCAAAAAAAAGCAAAATTAACAAAAAAAACTTTCTAATTTCCCAATATAAATATTTGACACGAATATCCTATGTTCGGTAGATGTACAGCACCTCAACCACACTCCATTTTCCCATACTTTTCGATTTACAATCAAATTTTAAATTAATTTTCGTAAAATTACCAAAGTAATTTTAAGATGTCACATTTCACCTTTACGACTTTGACACATATTAACTTTTTGTTTGTCGGCGTGCGCCAAAAGTACCGTTCCGCGACCATAGAGAGAACGTATGTTAAACATCCGATGATGTGATGATGATATGCGATATGGATCATCCGAAATGGTACCGTTCGCCATTCGTCATGCTTAAATCTTTCTCTCTTTCAGGCGCCCGAATAAATAATATACAAAACACACACAGTGGCAAAGCCAGCTACAGTTTACATATTTTAATATTTTACGAATGATGTCATTCTTGTCACACTTCATTTGTGAATAAATAAATAAACAAATAGTGAAGCATGCTTGAAGAACCGTATTTTTTGTATTTTACAATGAGATGACAGATTTCTGAGTGTTTTAGTGATGTAAACTTCGAAAATTCAAGATTTTGACGTGATAAGTTGGTAATTCGATTGCTATTAATACATTTGACAGATTTCTGATTGAATCGCTACTTGGGTTTAGTCAGAAATGAGTTTAGTAGACATTTATTGTTGTTAAAGTCTACTTAAATCATGTTAAATTGATTTATTTTACATTTTTGCTGTTTTCTCATAAATTAACCGACAGATTTCCTTCAAACTTTCGGTGTTTCAAGAACACACTCACCTTTTGATGTTACCAGCTTTAAAAACATCGTTTTCGATAGTTTAATACCAAAAAATTGCATTTTGTTGCAATTAATTACAGGTTATACCATTGATGCAATGTAAAATAAGCGAAAACAAACAAAATACAAGCGATCCAGTCATAATTTTTATATGAAAAGAAAGCACTGACCTTGTACTATCACCTCCCAGCAAGCAGCAACCCCCTACAACAATTTAAATTAGTTTTTTACAAATTTCTATCATCACTTACCATGTGCACTCATCACCACCTCACCACGTTTTTCACTACTTCCAACAACCACTACGCGCGGCGCTAGCATCACCATCACAACCAATTGAATCTTCAAGGTCATAATTCAAAAACCAACGCTTTCAATACCTGAAATAACCCACAATACATTAGATTTCCTTGCTTTTTGTGATAAAAATAAAGAAAATAATGAAATACCATGCATACGTGTCCAAGTCGCCGTTGCGCTGCGCGGTCGTCAGCCGTCGGGCGTGCAGAATCGAGCGACATTCCAAGCGCGAATAAGAACTTCCGTATTATTATTTATAATAAACCCGCGTGCACGAATGCAACAACAACATACACACTATCACTATATAACACAGCAAGAGAGACGCTTAAACTTGTCTACGCAACGTGAACACACTTGAATGTGTTTTTAGAGGTTATAACACGCTGCTTGTGTGCTTGCAACCTACGGTGTATTGTGTGTTGCCTATAGTACTCATGTCAACGATTGACATGACATGGAAATATTCAAACTTGAAATTGCAAATCATTATTAGTTATTAAATAATTAAAAATCCACGCTGTTTTCCTCACGGGGGACCTGCTATATCTATTACAGCACAAGATACGCACGTATCAACAATGTAACATGAAGAATTCAATAGTAAAATACATAAAAACATCAAAAAAACATTTTTTTGCAAATTTCGCGTTAAAAACTTTATTTTATAAGGTTTTATGTGTGTTAAATTTGCATACGATGCGATTTGTGCGTTTAAACGCATCGTGCATTGTTGATTGTCGATTGTTGATTGTGAAAGATATGCAAACGATGCACAAACAGTGGAAAAAGGTAGCTTCCGTGCGATGCGCCCATTTTCTGCTTTTGTGCACGATGATATGTTTATTAAATGAAACGCCAGTCCGAGGGAAACTCCCACAGGCTCTACGCTGTATATTCTGCGATATTTGCGCTGCGTGCGCTTGTTTTTTATGTCTTCATACACTCAGACAACACGTAGAGGTAAAGAGGGCGTGCGTGTGTCTTTAAATTGCAAATTGCGCAAGAAATTGAGTGAATTTAAAGTAACTAACTGCATAATCAACTGAAATGCTTATATTATCATCACATTCGTGTAATTTCAGCGTTTTTATACGATATTTGCATGTATTTTAGGTTAAATTAACTTAAAATATGACATAACCTCAAATAAAAGCTTTAAAACGTGTTTAAACTCTAAAAAATTAATCTTTAAACCGTAATTTGTAGTTTTATGCAAAATATTTGTTAATTTAATAGTTTTTTGACGTTTCATCGTGTATTTTAGGTTATATTGTGTTATAAACTGACACAACCTCAATTTATAGCTTTAAAACGTGTCTAAATACTTAAAAATTACTCCAAATGTTGTTTTTTGTTAGTTTTATGCTATATTTTCATGTAATTTCAGAGTTTTTGGTTGTTTTATCGTGTATTTTAGGTTATATTATGTTAAAAGTGACATAACCTCAATTTAAAGCTTTAAAACGTGTTTAAATGCTTAAAAATTACTCCAAATGTTGTTTTTTGTTAGTTTTATGCATAATTTTATTATAATTTCATAGTTTCAGGTTTTTTTGTCTTGTATTTAAGGTTATATTATGTTATAAAGTGACATAACCTCAATTTAAAGCTTTAAAACGTGTTAAAACACTGAAAAATTACTCCAAATGTTGTTTTTTGTTATTTTTTTGCTATATTTTCATGTAATTTCATAGTTTTTGGTTGTTTTCTCATATATTTAAGGTTATATTATGTTATAAAGTGACATAACCTCAATTTAAAGCTTTAAAACGTGTTAAAACACTGAAAAATTACTCCAAATGTTGTTTTTTGTTATTTTTTTGCTATATTTTCATGTAATTTCATAGTTTTTGGTTGTTTTGTCATGTATTTAAGGTTATATTATGTTATAAAGTGACATAACCTCAATTTAAAGCTTTAGAACGTGTTTAAATGCCTAAAATAACTCCAAATAGTGTTTATTGTTAGTTTTATGCATAATTTTATTATAATTTCATAGTTTTTTAGTTGTTTTGGCTCGTATTTAAGGTTATATTATGTGATAAAACGACATAACCTTAAATAAAGGCTTCTGGAAGTGTTTTAACACCAAAAAATTACTTCTGCTGCCATAATTTACTTGTTTTATGTATAAAATCACCATATTTACAGAATAATTAAATTTATACGTCACTTCCGGTTGTAAAATCTGCATTCCACGCTTTGAATATCACCAAACGTGTTCACCTGACGTTATTAATACACCATCTGATTAAGGAAGTCATCCGTTTGCTGGTTTATTGATGAAAAATCAACAACATCGATGGAATTCCTCTCGAAACATAAAATTAAGTCATTAATCAACGGATGAAGAGAAAAAAAATGTTCGAATGGCTTTCATTGCTTAATCGATGAGTAAATACGCGTAACAAAGTGCAAGTTTTTCCTTTGAGTTGCGTCATTTGGCGTTTTCGTTGTTTTTGTTTTCGTTTCGATCGTTTTCACTCGGTGCGGCGAAAAACAGCAAATACATAAAATCTGCGCGCCAGCTTGACGTCTTAATGTTGGAAACATTATGTCGCACAGCGTCTCTGCTTGGCGCGGCGCCAAAGCCTCCAAAGACAAGCGGTGATATTTTTTTGCGTTGGATATTTCCTGCACGTAGAAGGCACGGGAGACATTAAAATGTCTAATGTCTGTATAAACTTCCAGGGAAATCCGAAATGAAATGTTATATGATGGAAAAATGATAAAAACAATGACATAACCTCAAATAACCTGTCATAACCTTAAAAATTGACTATTTAGAGGTAAATGTTTGGTTCATTCATGATTTTCATGAAATATAACCTTAAAAATGTGATATTTTAGTGTTTTAAGGTTAAATTTATTGTTTTTGTTTGAAAAAATAGTAAAAACAATGACATAACCTAATATAACCTTAAAGTAAACATTTTTTTTGTTAAATTTGTAGTTTTTCATAATTTTTTGCAATTTTAGGCTCAAAAACTGTCATATTTTTATGTTTTAAAGTTAAATTTACGTGTTTTTTATATAAAAGTAGCAAAAGTGATCATAAAAGCTAACTTAACCTCAAAAAGAAGCTATTTTCTGTTAAGTTTTTAGTTTTTGTATGATTTTCATCAATTTTAACCTTAAAACTGTCATATTTTTGTGTTTTTAGGTTAAATTAACATATTTTCTGCGGTAAAATATCCGCCATTTTGTTTTTTAGAGGTTAATTTCCAATTTTAACCCTAAAACGTCAAAATTTCCTAAAATTTCTTAATTTTAAACGTTTATTTCTTTATTAAAAGCACAATTTGTAATATTTTCGTTGTTTTTATTGTTTAATTGCTTTAATAAGCTTTAATTCAATAATTATTTGTTAACACGCTTGACTCAACCCCCAGGGCTTAACGTCCATGTGTGCGCCATCATAAATTATACCAAATTAAAGGATTCAACGCGTTTTAATCATGTGCGAATATTAATATTCATAATTTATAATTTATCATATTTGCTTTGACCCGGGGCGTCATGATTGTTGCTTTTTTGCGCTCGCATCTTGTTAAAATAACATTTATAACATTTCACACACGTGTGCGGATTAGGCCAGCAGCAAAATCGTTTAGCAGCAGCACAAAACACAAAAATAAAAAAAAATGAAACACAAATCATTAATACGTAGCTAAATATTAATGTGTAGTAGAAGTAATAAGAAACAGAATAGAGGTTATGTCAGTGACAGGAAAATGACAACAAGATGGCTGCCAGGCGCACAATAAACAGCTAGGAGTTATTAACGTGTTAATATTAATAACATCAACATGTGGAACAACAAATATTCTTATTAGCATTTAAATTAAACTATTTTTTGTTTCTTTGAAATGTTTAAATAAGTTTTTATGTTTAAATGGAAGTAAAACATTGTTTTTTAATGTTGTTGACTAATTTTCATGGGGAATTTGGTTAAAAACTTCACAATCTTTAGTTTAAGGTTATGTTACACTTGATTTTGGTAGTAATACAGCCGCCATTTTGTTTTTTATAGGTTAAAGTCACATTTTTATGTGAAAATGTTACTAAAACATCGTTTTGTTAAGTTTTGGAGTCAGTTTCATGCATTTTTTGATTAAAAACGTCATAATCCTTGTTTAGAGATTATGTTTCATCAAATTTCTATAGTAATACAACCGCCATTGTGTTTTTCATATGTTAAATTCACATTTTTCACAAAATATTCGTAACTTTATGTGAAAATGCTACAAATACATCGTTTTTTAAAGTTTTGAAGCAATTTACGCACATTTTTAGGTTAAAAACATCAAATTCCTTACTTTGAGGTTAAGTCTAACCAATTTTCTGTACCAATAAATCCGCCATCTTGTTTTTTATAAGTTAAACTCACATTGTCCCAAAAATAACACCAAAAAACACATTTTTCACTACATTATCAACATTAAAACTAACAATAAATAACATTTAAACAACTTTTTGTCCTCTTATAACCTCAAAACCCGTCTTAAACATCCAACATTGAAATAATATTTATTTAACTTTTGATTGAATATTTGAACCTGTGCTCCACCAGCGAATGATTAATTAAAACGATTTGCAAAGCCGTTAAACTTAATTAATTACACACACACACACTACAACTTGTACTACCGTAAGCAGTAGTAATCGGAAGCTTTAGAATTTCGATGAATACCACCGTCACGATATAAAAAACCTCTGATTACTCAATTTCTATCGATGATTAATTCGAGTCACGAATTTCGAATTTGTTCTACACGCGAGATTTATTCATATTTATATAAATATTATCATTACAAGATGGCGGCGCGGTGAAGATGTCATTACCACGAGGAGATTAAGTTATGCGCACGCGCAATTCATGCATAACGATAAAGTTGACTTCACTCCTATCCCAAGTCGACTTTCGTTGAGTTGGAGCCTCTGAGATGAGAGTGCAACACGCAATAGATGCAATAGATGCTAGAGGATTATGGAGTGGCATGCAGCATGTAATGTAATGTTGGTTGTTGGTTATGTGCGGTAATAATGCATCGTCCGCATGTTGGTTATAAACAGCGACAGCCAACGCAGAACGAAACGTGCGAAGGAAGAAATGAATCGCGACATAAAGTGTCGAGCGGCGACGCCGGAAAAAGTGCACGTGGAAATTGCACATGTGCAACAAGTGCAATGGGAGTGCGAAAATACAAAATGCAAGAGATGAAGGTGGTTAAAGAAGTGAATGTTGTGGAATAATTGATGAAAATATGATTTTATGATGGTTTTTGATGAATTTTTAAGTTGAACAAAGAAAAATTAAGATATTTTGATAAATATTATAGGTAGATTAGTTTGCATGGTGTTGTTTAATAGATACTTTAATTATCTTTAATTTGACACTAAGTTTAGCAAAATTGAAGTGGTAGTTAATAAATTATAAACAAATTTGTAAAGAAAAATAAGGTTTTTCTTTCAAGTTTGAGAAAAATTTAATGTTTAGTTTCAAGATGTATAACTTTTGAACCAATTAGTGTATAGTACCATACTTTATATTATTTCATAGATAATTAAATTCTCTTTAATTTGATACTAAACTTGTTAAAATTGAGTAGCTTGATCAGAAGTTACAAGCAAAAAACTATGAAATTTCAAAAATACTTTCTATCATAAGCAATTATAGCATAATCCTTAACCAATATGTTTTTAAAACTTAAATAACTCATCAACAAATTATCCTACCACAATAGACGATATATCATTTTATAGATATTTTAATTATCTTTCATCTGATACTAAACATAAATAAATTCAAGTAATATTAAAGGAAATACAAGCAAAAAACTAAAACTTTTCAACTTTTTTCTTCCACTGCACTAAAACATAACCAATTCTATAATACCAATCCAAAATATTGCATTCTTCAACCATATACACCTCATTTGTACTCTTACTCGTATATTGGGTGAGTTGGTAATCCGTAATCCGTATCCCTGGCTGTTGAGAGTCGAGTTCGCTTTTTACACGCCACGCTGCCGACGCGACGAGCCGTTTTAACAGTTAACTTCTTCGTGTCGGCTGCGCGCTCGCCGACATACGCTCGATGGCATTCGCATTCACATCGTTCACATCGGTATTACGCCATTACGCAAATCGAAAGAAAGGCCAAAGTCACCGGCGTGCGGTCGCGCAGCCAAAGTCAAAGTCAAGCGAATTTCACCATTTTTAATTGTTTTAATCATTAACGGCGATTTTAATGATTAACACGTGCAGCTACACTAATTTCGAGATCTCTAATTGTTGGTAACAAGATACACGCTGCAAAATTCGGGTAAATGCTTGTAATTTCGGCGTAATTACATAATTTTTAATTTTTTGTCAATTTTATAGAAAAATAAGGTTTATGAACTTTTAAAATTGAAAAAATGATATGAATATTGTTTTAAGGAGCTGTGAACTAGCTGTTATTAGTTATAAACTGCTTTGTGAAGAGTTTTAATTAATTAATGGGTAAATATTGTTAAATTCTAGTGAATTATTGGAGAATATTCCCATGAAGATGGGTATTAATTAAATTTGATGGTTTTTTGCTTGTAACTTACAACGGCGCCATGTAATTTTAACAAATTTGATATCAAATTAAAGAGAATTAAATTATCTATAAAATGATATTCATATTGATAAAATAAAAATTTTTCTTTGATAAAATATTTTACTTTAAAGTCACCTATAGTTTTATTTTAACTAACAAATTTGTTTAAGTTGTTTTTTGTTAGTTTTTGGCAGATATCTTCTTATATGCTTATTCAATATTATCATGTTATACATCAGATTAAAGAGAATTAAATTCTCTATAAAATTGTTTTTAAACTGGTTTTCTAGCTTTTATGTGAAAAAAGTTATAAGCTTTTAAAAATAATCTTGATCCTCTTCTGATTTTTTATTTTACCAAAATTAATTATCAACTTTAATTGCTTATAACTTTTGATATAATTAACCAATATTATCAAATTTAACATCAAATTAAAGACAATTTCAAGACCTTTAAAATGATAGTAAACTTAAATTAATTCCATAAATTTTAAGGTAAGTTTTACGTAACAATCTAAAAAAAATCAAACTAAAAATACTCTTGTACTAAATAGAATGCATTCTTCTCGTTGTTCTTGCACTTTGAAGCCTTCTCTTGGCGTGCACCGCTGCGTGCGTCTCGGCATCCTCCTCTGGCGTTCTTCGGCTGTCGTCTGGCCTCTGATCTAGGAGCGTCGGATGGCCGCAGCGCTGGCTCGGGCGCGCTTGCTTGCAGGAAAGAAGAAGAAGACTCATCAGCCAATGACCATCCTTGCATAACCGCCGGAGACGGGGCCGCCGTATAAGACCGGCGGACACCTGTACTTTGGACTCATTTCGCGGTGTCGAGCGGTGTCGAGGAGTCGCGGAAGAGCCCCATCAAGTTCTTGCGTTCATCATCACCATCATCACCATCATATCATCGTACGGACTAAGACATAAAACCGAATAATTTTTTTTATCCTTAATCTTCGACTTTGAAGTGTGTTCTGACATTGACCTTGAATTTTTTGATAATCGCGTGGTGCGCAGATACGTTGGTGTGCAGCGGGAAATCTGAATTTTCTTCGCTTGTTTTGGATCAGTGCGCGGATTTTCCACACACGCGAGTTGAGAGTGTGACTGAGTAGTAGAGTCGCGAGCGGCGAAGAGGAGAGAGTTCAACGGCATCCAGCGCGCACCAGAGGTTTTACAAACAATTACATCGACAGCGACGCCGTACCGAGACACCCAGCAAACAATAAGGTGAGTTTTTCCTCATTCGAGAGCATACCGCAGTGTGCAGCTAGGTTCCGAGAATCGCATTGATTGATTCTTTCGGTTTACAACTACGTTTGTGCGTTGTTTTTTGTAATGACTCGGGAAGTATTTATGTTAGACTACCACAGTAAAAATTTATTGATAGAACATTAATAGGGCTATAAACTGGTGTATTAATTATTATTTTTGAATTAATTTTCAAAGAGATATGGGTGTTTAAAGTTGATTAATTGATTTTTTGTAACAAAAAATTCAAAATTTTAGTTTTTTCTTTATAATTACTATGAAAATTATTATAAATAATTTGTGTAAAAACAGTTTTAAAGTCAATTGAATTCTCTATAAAATGATATAAAATTTGTTAAAATGTGATTATTAGTTAAAAAGTTATAAGTCATTTAACTTACCATTGAACTATTTTCCTCAATCAGATTTTAAAAATTTCATTTTGTTCAATATTTTGTTAATCACTTTTTGTAATTTCATAAAAATTATATCATTTAACACCATCTTATAGCCAATTAAATTCTCTATAAAATGATATCAAATTTGTTGAAATGTGATTATTAGTTAAAAAGTTATAAGTCATTAAACTTACGTTAGAACTATTTTCATCAATCCGATTTTGAAAATTTCATTTTGTTTAATATTTTGTTAGTAACTTTTTGTAATTTCACTAAAGTTTGTATCATTTAATACCATCTTATAGCCAATTAAATTCTATATAAAATGATATAAAACTTATTAAAATGTGATGAATAGTTAAAAAGTTATAAGTCATTAAACTTACGTTAGAACTATTTTCATCAATCAGATTTTGAAAATTTCATTTTGTTTAATATTTTGTTAATAACTTTTTGTAACTTTACAAAAAATATATCATTTAACACCGTCTTAAAGCCAATTAAATTCTCTATACAATGATATACAATTTGTTAAAATCGTATAATTCGTTTAGAATTTATTCGCAATTAAACTTAACCTAAGATTAGTGTTATTCAGCAAAATCTAAAAATTTGATTTTATTTACTATTTTGTTAATAACTTTTAGTATTATTATTCCATAATATTAAACATAGTATAATTTTGTAGCCCATTTCATACGCAACAAAATGTCATAAATTTTATGACGATACGACAATTAGCAACAAAATGATTCGCTTCTAAACTTGGACACAAAATTCCACCATTTCTGGAAGCGATTTTTGTTTTAAACAATTTCCTCGCCATTTCGCCTTATAATTTATGTTAATGTTAACTACAATGCTATAATTACCAGCGTTTATTGTTGAAAGTCAACGAGGCTCAAAGCTCGCAACGTTCAACTACAAAACCACCGCGTCCATACTCGCCGAAAATGCAAACACGCCTCGTCGTGTGTGATGCGCACTGAACGTTAACTTTAACTCAACTTAACTTAAGTCAAAGCGCGCGCCGTCCTTACATAATGTCCCAATGTGTCTCAGCAACTCTTGGTTTCGTCTTGGCTGAGATAATTGCAATCGTAATTCCATTTCAAACTAAATCCAAAACAACGTCGAAAACTTTTGCATGTCAAGTTCAACTACCTTAAAAACCGACTAGTGACTTAAGTCAGTTTATTAACGTGCAACTAATGACGGCGCATGTAAGAAAATCAAGACATGAAAAGTGCATTCATGCTGCAACAGAAGTAATAATCAACTTGTCAATCTGGTTTCATACTTATAATAAGCGCGTCATAATTTTTTAGTTCGCCGCTATCGCTCCATAGATGGCGCTAGTAGTCGAATGTCAAGAGCAGGCGGTGGAAACAAGGAAACAAGTTCAATGCACGTTCGAAAGTCAATTATTCCATTCTGTTACTCTGCCACTCTAGCGCGGTCGGCGCAGCGGCGCAGATTACATCGACATGACTTAAGTCACATCCACACAAACTCACCGAAACACAAAGTTGCCTACACAACTATTTATTCATACCTATATACATTCAAATGTATATTTTGTTTGGTTAAATAATATTAATGCACTTAAGTCATGTTGACTTAAGTACGTTAAGTAGTTTAGTAAAAAAGTAAAAATCCAGAATAAAAATAAAAGTGTGTGTATGTGGTTGGTGCGTAACTGTACTGCGCATACCTGCGTGTGATGCGCATGCGCATGCGTTAATTACGAGAGTATACGTTAGAGGTATTAAACGCTTCGACGTATCGGCCGGCAGGTAACTGCAACTGCAAACGGTGACTTAAGTCAGCTCAGCGCAGGAAACCGCAATGCGTGATGCGTGATGCGCAGAAGGTGAAAGAATCAACACAATCGACTATCAAACAACTGCTAGATAAATAGCATTTTTTATTGCTATACCATGTGTTTCAATTAATTAAAATTTTAGAAAATTTTTTTAGATGACTTAAGTTAAGTATGCAGGATGCGTGTGAGAGATTTATTAATATTAATAATAAATTTATTATTTATTAATGAAAACATAGAGGAAGCGTTTGCGGTCGTAAATTATTTGCTTGTCACTGCGCGTTAAACGCGCATCGGTGATAAATCATGGCGATTACAGAAATTATGAATCTACTTAAGTTAAGTCACATTTGCCTTAATTATTTTCCGCATTGCCATTGCCATCCTGTGTCCGTACGCGCATGCGCCTATGACTTAAGTAGGTTTAATCACTGTTAAGTGCATATCCTACGCAATAAAATGAGTTTAAGCAGAGTATACTTAAGTCACTCATATGGCTTACAACGCCAAAATGGTATTAATATTGTTATCAAATTAGGTGTTGTAGTGAATGGAATATCAATTAAATCGTACTTAACTTAACTTAAGTAAAGTGACTTAAGTCATTTTATCTCGATTTCTAGTTGTTTTGTTTGGTGAAATGATTTTTTTGTATTTTTTGTGACTGTGATTTATTTTATTTGACTTAAGTCACTTTTTTCAACAAAGACTTGAACCTTAGATGAAAAAAATATGTAGTGTAATCAAGGTGTGGTTGATGTATGCGCATAAAATAACAATTTACCAGAATGGAAAAAATGAGCGAAGCCATTTAAAGGCAGAAAACGAGGAAACTCACAAACGCACTTATGACTTAAGTCAGAAAAAAGTTGTTACTCTTCAGCGCTGAGATTTAAAAACCGTAAAAAAAAACGCGTAGGTAACTTAACTAGACGCAACAAGAGCGGCGCACTTGAGGAATTTCTCAAATTGCGAGAAAAACGCGCAAGTTGCGCAAGTGACTTAACTTAAGTCGGATTTTTTTCCGACGTTGAAATTACTAGTAACAAGTGATAAAGGCAAAGAAAATACAAGTCAAGTAAATATCGAGTGAAAATAAAATAAAGTTGCATGCGCATGCGCATGCGCACATCATGACTGTGCGCAATTACGTTAATTATAAAATTGGCAGCTTCGCAGAATCTTCCATCTCGGTACACTTTCCTATGCATAGATTTTGATCTATTGATTTTAAAATTACTTATACAGAGTGTTCAAATAAAAAATTTAAAAATAAATTTAAAAAATTAAAAATTTCAAAAATGAAAATAAAAAATGAAGAATGTTATTACGTCTCATAATAACCACTTTAAACATTTCGCAGATTATTATTGCAGTGGCGTTGAGTGCACTTTGATTTATTTCTGCGCGGTGATGATGCTCGTGTGCGCGCTCGTGTCGCGTTGATTTATAATTTATAATCGGATATATAATTTCGTTTACAAATAGTCATCAATCATGTCGGCGAGTTTTTCGCCCTTCGACGCGAGCGCAAGCACTCAACTTTTTTCAGACATGATCTCTCAAGAAGGCTATTAAAATCTCAAGACGCAGATAGGCTGAATATTTTCTAAAAAAAGAATAAAAATGGAATGTTGTGCAAAGTAATATAGAAAATAAAAGGAAGTTAATATTTTATAAATATTTACAGTAATAGAAATATAATTAGAGTAAAAATGCTATTTTTTTTTCAATTTGCGACGCATATTGTTATCGTTTTTTGCTGATAATAATTTTTTGTGTGTGATATTTTCTTATCTGAATATCTTTTCTTATTAAAAATTTCCTGTAGATTCAAATCTGTAATTTGCTCCTTCCCATCTCTTTTAGTTTACGAGATATTCACAATTGAAGAAAAATGGCAAAACTTGAAAAATGTCACTTTTTAGCACTTTTAACCACGTTTTTAGACTATACAAATTTTACTATACAAATTTTAATTATTTTAGTATCGTAGCTAAAAGAGAATTTTCCAATCTTTCATAATCTACAATCCGCTGGTTGCTATCTCTTTCTGTTTAGAAGATATTAATTATTGAAAATCGTCGAAAAAAAGTATCAACTACCCCCCCTTGCCCATTTTTTCTTAAGAAAAAATTTTATCTCTTAGATTTCCGATTTAACAGTCTTATCTTATAGAAAATGGTCCGTAGATTAAGACCCTGCGATCTGATTGTTGATATCTCTTTTAGTTTACGAGATATTCGCAATTGAAAAAAATCGTCAAAAATTGAAAAAAGTCACTTTTTAGCACTTTTAACCACGTTTTTAGACCTTTTACTATACAAATTTTAATTATTTTAGTATCGTAGCTGATAGAGAATTTTTCAATCTTTCATAATCTACAATTCGCTGATTTCTATCTCTGTTAGTTTAAAAGATATTTATTATCAAAAATCGACGAAAAAAAGTATCAAGCACCCCCCCTTGCCCATTTTTTCTTAAGAAAAAAATTTTTATCTCTTAGATTTCCAATTTAACTGTCTTATCTCATAGAAAATGGTTCGTAGATTAAGACCCTGCGATCGGATTGTTGATATCTCTCTTAGTTTACGAGATATTCGCAATTGAAAAAAAATGGCAAAAATTGAAAAAAGTCACTTTTTAGCCCTTTTAACCACGTTTTTAGACCTTTTACTATTCAAATTTTAATTATTTTAGTATCGTAGCTGATAGAGAATTTTTCAATCTTTCATAATCTACAATTCGCTGATTTC